ATTTTTAATGATGTCTTAAATCAGCAAAATGTAGTATTTAAAATTTTGATTCTAGACTTTTCCAGGATTGATATCATAAATAAATATTCTCACTTGGTGCAAAACTATTATTATGTACCATGTGTTTTATGGGTTGATGTCGCTAAAACAGACCTGCCCTGATAAATCTCTGAGTTCCATGATAATGAAGGAATGTGCCTCTCCTTTGGAATTGCGTTGGCTCTCCTCCCGGGCAGTCACAGTGACGGGTCCTGTAACCACCCTTTTTACCTTGCCTGGCCAAGAAGCAAGACCTACAGTATTCACTCAACCCACACTCTCTCTTCTGATCCTCCGTTTAGTGATTTTTGCCCTTGTTTTGATTATGAAGAGGAAAAGTGTGGTGATATTTTATTTGTGCTGAAATGTGGTGATATTTTATTTGTATGTTAATAAATAAAGTTTGCCTAGAGATCAGAGGTCATAGCCAGCTATAAACAAAAGTCAGGTGGTGGTGGCCCATGCCCTTAATCCAATCACATGGGAGGCAGAGTCCCTGTGTGTTCAAGGACACAGCCAAGCGTGGTGACACACGCCTTTAATCCCAGTACCAACCATAGAGACCTGGAGGTCTGTATAGACAGGCGGTGATGAGGAAGTGATGTGGCTGGGCTTAGAGCCAGTGAGAAGGCAGAACAGGAAGGCAATAAAGGCGCAGGTTAGACAGGAAGAAGCTGGTTCGGTTCTCTTGGAAAGTGATGGCGACATGGCAAGCTAAGGTTAGTGTGGTGGCTATTGCTCTGATCTTTACGGCTTGAACCTCTGTATTTGGCTCTGTGTTTCTTATTTAATCAGACTGTTTAGAAATTCGTCTACAGAAGAGCATATTTTTCTCCTCTTCGGAAACAAGTAGAGAACGGCTACTTTATTTACAAATAAACGGAATATGCATGTTTTCACCATGTGTCAGCTAGAGATGCTTTGCCCTCCTCAAGTTGTGGGCTTCATCCATTCCCATCCTTCTTGTTTGCCTCTGACCGTAGCCTCGCCGCTCTCGAGGTGAGGCTGACGAAAGATGCACCAGCCATTGAAAGAGCTGACTATGCCTCAGGCCCCTTGTGATCCTTTTTATTTTATTTTATTTTATTTTATTTTATTTTATTTTATTTTATTTTATTTTTATTTATGTGTATACATGGGAGTGTGGGTGCCCATGGAGTGCAGAAGAAAGTGTCAGATCCTCCGGAGCTGGAGTTACAGGCGGTTTGAGCCACCCATCACAGGTGCTTTGAATGAGTAGCAAGTGCTCTTAACCGCTGAGCCTTCTCTCCAGCTCCAACCCTTGGGGTTATTTTAATTTACATCTCTCCCCTGCTTTTAGTCATCTTTATGCCCTGAAGAGTGAGTGGAACACAGTTATGCTCAATAAATCTTTCCTGAAAATAATACCAAACAGAGAACAAGAACTTAGGCATAAGTTGAGAGGATCACTAGCTAGTGAACCATTCTGAGACTTGCACCTTTTTGGCCCCTAGATGTTGCCGTATGCCTGGCCAATGGGACATGGAGTGAGGTGCTTTGTAAAAAGATGGGAAAGCCTCCTTCTGAAGGGGGAGCAGGCTTTTCTTCTTTTCTTCCTCCTTCTCATTGTCTGGAGCTCACTTAGGATGGCTAGGGCTCCAGCGATCATGCTGAACCAAGAAAACAGGGATCACAGCCCGTTGGATGAGAGGTCTCTGATGGTGATGAAGCTGCCCACTGATCCAGCAATCCTCAGCAGCTTCCTCCCCGACCTCCTTTTTTAGTGAAGTCGTCCAGTCTTGAGTGTTCAAAACATCATCTGGGGCATTTCTAAATGTCAGCCAAATACAGTTCCTCACTGATATATCATAAAAAGATCTGTTCAGGGTTAGAGAGCAGGATGGGAGTGAATGCCTGGAGACAGCCCAGAATCTGTCTTCTTATTCTTTGCTGCAGCACTTTTATGCTAAGCTCGCTCTGTGGACTTAGGCAGCTGCATTAGGTACTCACGATTCCTCGTAGAAAACAATAGATAAGATTTCCTCCCCCAGAATCACGGCGACTCCCTGACATAAAAGCGGGAAAGTAGTTTGGAAGGGCCAGCCTTCCTCTTCCTTATGGCTAGCGGTGAGCTGACCCTTCCAGTGTCCCGGACAGGAGTGTGGATGGCAGACATTAAACCACAAACTATAGTTTCATGGAGTTATAGTTGTTCGGCTAGGGAACAGAAGGCGAAAAGGGAGTCTTCCAATGACGCGGTGCTTGCCAAGAAGGCCCAGCTGTTTCCCGCGTCCTCCAGGAGTGGAGGGAGGTGATTAAAAAAATTTCCTCCCTGGGTTCTGTCTAAGAGCTGGCTTCCTCGGAATAGAATCTGGGGGGAGGGGTAATCTCAAGGGGGAATGATGGAGAGCAGAAGCGTGGTTAGCAGCTCCCACAGGCCCTGGAAAATGGACCAAGAGGGAGAAGGCTAGCTTTATGTTCCTTTTCAACAGATCTCTGCTGCGGAAGGGGGGGGGGGCGAGAACATAGTCTCTCAAGAGTCCCTGAGGGAAGACACTCCCCCGGGGCTGAGAACGCTTATCCACAAAGGGCTCAGCTGAGCTGCGGAAGCAGCGGTGTGAGAATGCATTGCATCCAAAGTAGGGAGCAGGGCGTGCACCCCCCCCCCCAACGTCTACCATGGGTACAAAGGACAGAGAGGCTATAGGATTACAGAGGAGGCTGATAGTGGTGGTGCATGCCTTTAATCCCAGCGCTCGGGAGGCTGAGGCAGGCAGAGTTAGTTCAAAGCCAGCCTGGTTGTTCTACAGAGCAAGTGCCAGGACAGCCAGGGAAACTCCGTCTTGGAAAACAAAAACAAGGCCAAGTAGCAGTGGTGGTGGCGGGGCATGACTTTAATCCCAGCACTCACTCGGGAGGCAGAGCCAGGCGGATCTCTGTGAGTTCGAGGCCAGCCTGGTCTACAGAGCAAGTTCCAGGACAGGCACCAAAACTACACAGAGAAACCCTGTCTCGAAAAACCAAAAGAAAAGAAAAGAAAAAAGTTATAGAGGAGACATTCTCCAAAGACACTTAAAAGTAGAACCATGTCACCCATTTGTCTGGAGTCAAATGGATGTGCCCAGTGTGAACAGATGCATGGTGGGATATCTTTATTGTGGTTTCGAATGGACAGATGTGTGGGTGAGACATCCTTACTGCGGATGCTCGGCCTCTGTGGCTCTGCTTTTTGGCCTCCTGGAGATCAGCTGGAAACGTGGTAGAACTGGGAGTGAAGGGTGCCTTCCTACTGCAGCCTAGGAGTACGTACACACAGAGCAAGCGCCCAGACTTTTGTCTAGCGCCTCCTTCCTCCCACGATGACAGATCACTGGGAAGAGGGGTTAGAGCCAAGTGTGGCGACGAATACCTGTAATCCCACAGCCTTGAGTCCGAGGCAGTTGGATGGCTGTGAGTGCAAGACCAGCCAGGCTTATGCCATGAGTCCCAGGTTAACCTGGGCTACCACATGAGACCCTCTCTCCAAAACAAAGGCTGCAAGTTTACAGTGAACCCTGTTGGTTCTGCCCTAGACCTGATCGGTTAAACTCTCTGAGCTGTACTTTCTCCAATCACAAACAGCACTTGTGGCTGGGCACCCCTCCACAGGGTGGGCACGCCTTGCGGCCCCTTGCTCTCACCAATGGGAAATGAGCAGAAGTGATTGTCTCTGGCGGAAGAAGCTAACAGAGCCTGTATCTCCCCTGGCATGTCTTTCCCAGTCTACAGCTGAAAAGAGGGGATGCTGAAGGCCTACAGGAAGGAGGAACCTTGGTTCCCACCCAGGATGATTGCAGGATAAACAGGTGACTGAGGAAAACCATTCTGTTAGGGGAAAGTACCAAGTTCTGGGGAGATACTAGAATTGTCCATATGCCAGCTCATGGAGCTGCAGATGGTACCCTAGGTTCCTTATAAGATTGAGAGAATGCCTATAAATAAAATGTTGGACATTTTATTCTCCTTGGCAAGGTACCTAAATAATGAAGGTAGAGTCTGTAAAGCCAATACGCAAATACAGCCAGAAGACATTTCCCCAGACCTGCCTCTAGCTAGCTAGAATTTCTGGACTCACCATTGCCAGGCTCAGCAGATAACAGTGCTTAAACATGTCTTTTATGGGTGTCAGCAAAGCAAAAGAACGGAATAACTTTCTGGGCATAAGAAAAAGTTCAATAATGACTGAGCCCAACAGCAGAGGAAGGACTTGAATGTTGCGATCTATTCATCTCGAATCATGAACGCATCCTCATTTTACAGAGTTGCAGAGTCGATCAGTAGAAGGGATTTGAGTTTAGGCCTGCTCAGCCCCAAAGCCTGTGTGTGGTCCATCCTCTTTGCAGGGAAACAGACCTGTCCCTCCTGGCCTTGTGAAAGGGTTTCACCGCCCCTGGAGCGCAGGTGGACGGACTGAGTACCGGTAGATTGAGAGTGCACGCTTCTCCCAGATGCACTGCTTGCCTGGGTGCTCTGTGTTTCCTGGTTGTACCTCATTTCCCAGATGTACTGGCTTTCCGGGAGGTGATGCTTTTCCAGGTGGACTGCATTTCCTGGATGTTCTTCGTTCCCAGAGGTAATGATTTTCTCAGACATAGTCATTTCCCCGGACGGACTGCGTTCCCTGGGGTGTACCGCTTTTCCTGGATGTACTGTACCGCTGTGGTTGGAGAGAACAGAAGACAAACTCGGCTTCCTTCATCACCGCCCTCACTCCGTGGTTCCCAGAGGCAGAATGCGTTCGATTAGGCAAGGTCCAAATTACAGTGTGATTACAGGGCTCCACAGCCTCCCTGAGTGGAGAGGTGTTTTCAGAGGCGCTGGTATTATACAAACCAAACATTGTTTTCATTGCTTTGGGCTGGAACTGAGAGTCAGCTTGCCCCGCCCCCTTTCTGACTCCTTGGTTCTAGAATCCTGTACACTGTCACCCAGTGTTCTGTATAGTGAATGCCGTACTTCTGGTTATAGGGAATGCCACAGCAAGCCAGGGAAAGGGCCCTGCCATCACCAGTTTTCTCCCAGGACCCTGGAGTCTTAAGAAGTGGTTTCTCACCCAGTTTCTTCAACTGGTTTGGATGACTGAGGAGATAAAGACCCCATGGCTGTTGGACTCACGGGATGGTTAACTTGCTTTTCTATCCACTGTACGTGATTTTTTTTTTTAACTTGGAGGTCTTAAACTGTCTTGCTGCCCAAGAAGAGTGGATATTCCAGAAAGCACCAGATAAGTGCCGACGTTTTAAATTCTACCTTGTTAAGCAAGCACTGTTTCCCTCCCAGGGAGTCAAGGAGAATCAGAACCCATGGGAGCCAACCAGAACTGTAGACAGATATCCCAGGTGCTCTCAAAATCATGCCGTCTTCCAAAACTCCTTAGGAAAAAAAAAAAACCCTCTAGTTTATATATGTGTGATCTCTGCATAAGAAGGTTTTTAAATTTTGTTGAGAAAAGATGTTTTCAAGGATCTCTGTAGCTGAAGTTTTCTCTGGTTCTGCCCAGCCCCACAGACCCCCCCAGCCACTTATAAAATAATCACTCAGAAGCTTATATTAACTAAAACTGCTCGGCCATTAGCTGAGGCCTACCACTGACTACCTCTTATATTTAAACTCAGCCCATTTCTATTCATCTATATGTTGCCATGTGTTCTGTGGCTTTCTTTACCTGTGTGCCATTACATGCTGTTCCCTGGATGGTGGGCTGGCATCTCCTGACTCAGCCTTCCCCCTCCCAGAGATCTCTGACACAGGCTCCCACCATCTCCCACCTGAATTGATCTCACCTCTTTTTCTTGGTTCTTGACCTTGTCACTTCTCTGACACCTGCCGTCTTCAGTCTCCCAGAACCCTGTCCTGCCAGAATTCTGCTGTAAGTCAAGGCCACTGCCCTCTGGTTATCTACCTTGATCTTTCTGGACAAACACACTTTCTCAGGATGTCTCTGTAGACACAGCATGTTTTGGTCTCTCTGTCTACTTGTATGCTTGTCCTTCCCTTTTCTTTAAGGAACACCCCTCTCTTCATCTTGTATCCCCTATCAGCAGTTCTCAACCTGTGGGTCCTGACCCCACTGGAGGTCAAATGACCCTTTCACAGGGTCGCATATCAGATATCCTGCATATCGAGTATTTACATTATATTTCATAGCAGTAGTAAAATTACAGTTATAGACTAGCAACAAAAATAATTTTATGGTTGGGGGGGGGCTCACCACAATATGAGAAACTGTATTAAAGGGTCACAGTTTAGGCAGGCTGAGACCACTTCCCTGTAGCATCTAGTACTGTGTTTTAGACCTACTAGTTATTCAATAAATTACCATTGGCTTGAGTTTACTTTGGAGTTGAGACAAGATGTCTTAATTTTTATGCAGACTGAAATACTATGATATTCTCAACTATTTTCTATTCTTTGTTCATAAATGATTGCACCCATTTCCAAAATGGTATCATACTGATCAATTTTTAGGACAATTCCTTCTTTTCTCAGATTTTAGGAATCATATAGTCTGCAGTAAGTAGGGACAGGACAGGTCTAGCAACAGAAAGAAAAAATGTCAAGGCTTTGGAGTTAGAGTGAATCCTTCTATAATCCTTAGTAAGCTCCTAAACCTTCCTGAGCTTCATTTTGTCATCTCTAAAATAGAAACTACCTATGCACTTCACAGATTTATTTATGAGAATAAAGTTATTCCTCGCCCAGTGCTCAGTGTATAGTAGAATCAATCACAATTCTTTCTTCCTCCGTCTTCCATTGGAGACCAGTTCCATTAGTATCCTTTCTTCTACCCACATTTAACTTCAGAACCAAGTGCTAAGCTTTTTAAGCACCCTGTATTGCCTAGCACAGTGCTATGGAAAGGGAATAGGAGGTAGAAATGGAGACCAGAATATTGACGGTGAGATTATAATTTGACTGAATGAGGATATTAGCACAAAAATGCTAATTTAAATTAAATAATTCCATAGATAGATGTTCAAGTATGCTGGAAGATATGAGATTAGCTTCAACCAAAAGGATATGTGCTATAGTATCCACTACCCTTAGCTCCATTTTCTATGATATCAGTTGTATGTGTCCAACACAAATCTAAAAATATTAAATGGGAAATTCCAGAAATAAATAACTCATACATTTTAAATTGTACTCCACTTTGAGTGGTGTCATGAAATCTCACTCTGTCCTGCCCAGGCTGACTCACATTCCTGTCCTGTGTGTCTGAAGTGTATATGCTACCCACCATCCATCACTGAGTAGTCCACTCCATTATCAAGTCACCTGACATAGACTTAGAGCTTGTATTCCAACAGTCTTCATTTTACTTGATAAATAGTCTTAAAGTTCGAAAACGATAGTTTGGCAAGTGGGGGTGTGTCAAAGAGAAGCCATAAAGTGCTTCTTTTAAGTCAAAAATGGTGCCTCTAACAGAGATATTAATGTAGGTATAGGAGCGAGCACTCTATAATATACACCATATTTAACATTATTTATGGTTTCAAGGATCCACTGGGAATCTAGAAACATAGCCTCTGTAGATAAAAGGGAAAATGCCTTTGTGGCGGTATAAAAGAAAATGGTCCCCAAAGAAAGTGGCACTATTAGGGGGTGTGGCCTTGTTGGAGGAAGTGTGTCACTGTGGAAGCGGGCTTTGAGGTCTCTCTTCTCAAGTTTCCTTCAGTGTGACAGTCTTCAAGTCCTACAAGATGTAGGACTCTCAGCTACTCTTCCAGCACCACGTCTACCTGCACGCTGCCATGTTCCCCGCCATGATGATAATGGACTGAACCTCTGAAACTGTAACTGAGCCACCCCAATTAAATGTTTTCATTTATAAGAGTTGGTGTGGTCATGGTGTCTCTTCATAGTAATAAAAACCCAAACCAAGACAGTCTTGGTCACTTTTTCCATTGCTGTAATAAAATATACTGACCCCCCCCCAAGAAAAAATAGAGGAAGAAAGGGTTTGTTTGGGTTTGTAATTTGAAAGTACATTCCATCATGGCAAGGGAATCATGGCAGCAGGAGCTTGAAGTAACTGATCATGTTAAATCTGCTGTTAGGAAGAAGACAGCAAGAATGTTAAGCTCTGCTCACTTCTTCCTGTTTATATGGTCCAGTTCCCAAGCCCAGGAAATGGTGTTGCCCTCCTTCAGGGTGAGTCTTCTCCCCTCAGTGAACCTTATCTGGACAATCCCTCACAGGTGTGCTTGGAGGTTTGTGTCCTAGGTGACTCTGGATTTTGTCACGTGACGATCAACACTAACAATCACATAAATGTGGCAATGAACAGCCCTTGGCCAAGGCTGGTGAGCCTCCCCTGACCACCGCTTCCCACAGAGTGACTCAAGCCCCTTGGAGAACTTGGAAGGACCCTAGTATTGTGGGATGTCCTTTTGTATGCCGTGATTGGTTGATAAATAAAATGCTGGTTGGTCAGTAGTCAGGCAGGAAGTATAGGTGGGATAAACAGACAAGGAGAATTCTGGGAAGAGGAAGGCTGAGTCAGGAGGTGCCAGCTTACCGTCCAGGGAGCAGCATGTAATGGCACACAGGTAAAGCCACAGAACATGTGGGGACACAGGAAAACTTCAGACTACACCTAAGTTTGATTTAATGCAGTACTATCCTTGCCTTGAAATACGTGTGTCTTTGTGCAGGCTTCTGCACATGGGTGCAGTGCCCACAGAGGCCAGAAGAGGGCATCAGACTCTCTGGAGCGGGAGTCACAGGCAGTTGTGAGCTGTCTGATGTAGATGCTGGGCCCCAAACTCAGGTCCTCTGCAAGAAAAGTACACATTCTTAACAGCTGAGCCATCTCTCCAGCCCCTGCTTTGAAATTCTTAATCATCCTCCAGAAAGGCATTTTCATTTATACCGAGCCTTAGCAACTGTGCAGCCTGACCTGCTTATAACGAACGAAGAGGTCGTATTTATTTTAGTGTTCATCTCCAGTGCTTAATAGGTCTCTCTGCTATAAATGAGTACATTTTACTCACACAGTCAGTCTGGGTGACAGGTGCTGGCACATCCACCTTCACCTCAAGTTTTATGTTTTGAATTTTACAGCTGGATGCATTCCTACCTTACATCATTTTTTTTTTCAAATAAGATATTCACAGATTTTCTTCAAAATCTGAGAGGAATACAACAGACTA